CACTTTTATGTAATCTAGCCAATGTGTACTGTATGTAGCAGCTGCTGCCGCTTCCTCCACACACAAATTATCAGCTCTCTTCTGGCTGCGAGCGAGGGGCTCAAGCAGCGACTTTGGTGATGTGAAAAGGTGTTTTAGTGGAGGGAGGTGGAAGGGGCAACAAGTTAACATGGCTCAGCTGGTTTTTGCAGGAGCTTTTTAAATGATATTTACCACAGTACAATTGCTACATCTTGATGTTCTAAGGCCTTAAATGCTTTTATCTAGCAAAATTACACACATTATGCTTAAGCAGTCATTTCACTATATTCAAAACTAGGCAGGAAACCAACAGCTGAAATGTGCAACAGTCAGACAGACCTTTCTGCGAACTTTGAGCTCTATATAATCAGGGATCATTAGAAGGAAAAAACCTGAGCCAGAGTCGAGGTGTGTTTACACTCTGTGACTGTGCACATGCAAATCCAAGCCTGAGAAAATAGCTTTATGACTTGGTGTCTGATAGGCTACACGCTCCTAATTTTGTTGACAGCACATCAGCCAATGTGTGAACGCTACAGAATGGCCAGGATACAGGATATATGATAAGATATCCTCCGGCGAAGCCTGGAGGTATTTGGCCCGCAGACCGAGGAGAGATGAGGGACGGGTTCGGCTCAGGGCAAAGCTGGGAGACGGATGCTGTGCCAAGTAGGAAAAACCGCGCAGACACCGGTGTCACAGTTCATCTGTCGTCGCAAACGCACCGACACGAATACACGATGACTTAGACTATGATGAGACAAATCCGTTCTGCTGCAACCGCAACAGCGGAGGAGACAGATTCACTGCGTCTTAGGCTTCCTCCTGAGATGATCCACTCTGACAAGGCACGGCATGAAAAAACGGTAACAAAGCTGTTAGGATATTCAGAGGCTGGACGTCCTATGCCCAATTATCTTATGGACTTCTTGGTGAACTAATGAAATAGCGCCGCCAGAGAGACAATCGGGGCGCACCACAGCGCTCCACCGATTTACGCACGCAACGCACATAAAAGCACCCGCTAGGAGAGGATTATTAGAGGAAGGACTGTTGACATGGATGACAGCTCTGTTTTGGAAAGAGCAAGGTTTTCTTACACATCCGTGAGTCTAAATGCACACATTTTCACAGAATGAGTCGAGGGAGGAGGTTGAGGAAACGCGCTTTGTTGGATTGACACTGGCAGACAACTAAACGCTATCGCAGCACCAAACGGTAAAGAAGACTCTCCATCCTGGCTAAAGTGACAGTATGCGTCTGACTCGGTGATTAAAGTGCAAAGCAGTTCATCTGAATGAAACCCAATCCCTAAATCGACCGGAAATAACATATTCTTACTTTAATTACAAAATAAAGGCAGTTTTCTTTCTCATATTCTCATCACGCAGCCTAAATAAGCACAAATATGCAGCCAGACTGCAGTCACATCATGTAGTTACTGAGAAAACCTCTCTGAATCGTCACTGAGCTCATGTATGCAGATAAGTACCTAAGTACAGCCAGGTAGACCTAAACCGAGCCGGACAGTAAATCAGGAAACACGTACCCTTCTGATGTGCCTTATTATCTGCATGCACTTTAATCAGAACACTGGGGAAGAGGTAAAGATGGATGGAAAAGACGACGGGAGCGAATATGATCTGATTATTTGGATAAAAAATGCGCAGGAGGTAAAAATGAAATACGCACGAACATCAAAACATCTATTCTGGCTGGATGCGGTGCTGCTCTCCAGCCAGCGCAACGCTCCCCCGGCCGGGATGTTGGCACACAGACGTGGCCGGTACCGATGGTATTATGATGCTCCTGCGCAATGCCAGATAGCGGTCCCTCAGTGTGGACAACCTTTGCTCTCGCCTGTGAAAATAACATGCGCTATCCCCCGACACAGCACATCAAAGGGTTTGTGGATTTCATGCGTCAGCGAAATACCTGACTTTGAGACATTTCAGTCATTTCGGCATGAAAAAGCTTCTCGCCACCGGAGCGCGTACAGTCCGCGGCTGGAGAGAGATCCGCCAGCTTGCAAGCACTCTCTCCGACTGAGCAGAGATCCTATGAGGGAAGCAATGGTCCTGAGCCTGTGCACACGTAACAACAACTACATCTTTAACTGAGGTAAAAAAAAAAAAAAAAAGGGAGATTCCGCACATTCTCTCCACTTGTCATATATCCCCGTGTTGTATGTCCCCCGCATCCTCAACAGTGTCCAGACGCGCACTACACCGGCATGCCACCGCACCAGCACCAGCACCAGTACCACCACCAGCAGCAGCAGCAGCAGCAGCAGCACAGGAGAAGAGAGCGTAGACTTAAGAGAAAATCACTGTCTCGGATAGCCAGTGTTGTCCATCGTTTCCAGGGGAAAAAAGAAAGTCCAGAGGGCTAGAAAGATGAAAGAAGTCGGATTTTTAGATGCGCTCACCTCTAATTCTCTCCACACCGAGTCCTGGTTACACCTGTCCCACGCCATCCAGCCACTGAATGACGGTCCGAAAAATTAAAAAAAAAAAAAGGAAAAAAAAAAAGAAAAAAAGAAAGAAATCAAGTAAAAAAGAAATCCACACACGCTTCCCACTCGCTCTCACACAGGCAACTGCTGCCCCTCGCCGAGAATGAACCGAGGGCACCTGTCTTACAACTGCTTTCCATCACATGACAAAGCTATTAAAAGTAGGCAGGGGAGTGACTCCGCGTCCACACTACTCGCCAGTGACGCGCAGTCAGCAGGCGGAGTCTGGCTGCGCACATAGTAAAATCCTCTCCGTGCACTGCAAAAAATGTCAATCTCCAAACCACATCATGATCTATCTATCTATCTATCTATCTATCTATCTATCTATCTATCTATCTATCTATCTATCTATATTTCCTGCAGGTTAAGACTCTTGTTTCTGGATTTTTTTTCAGGAACCAAGTGGACTAATTTTAAATTTTCTTTCATTTATCCGGCTAAAATATTTTTCTAGATCCATTTCTTAAACAATCTGGAGCTCATGATTTCAGCTTTGTTTCTGGTTCAGGCCACTTTTTGCAGCGTGGACGTCAAATGGTCGCAAATCTCCTGATTAAATTCGTTTAAAGTTGCTATTGTAGTTGTAATAATTAGACCATAAAATGTCAGGAATATATATGGAGCATTCAGGATCAGTGGTCTTTTTCTTTTTTGGGTGAGCTCCTTAATGATTTGTCACATAATTACTGCCCATCATCAGTCACCCTCCATGTCTTTGCAGCCTCGGAGTTTAGTGAATTGACGGCTGAAAATGGATTTATAAGGACGGGGTTACAGTGGATGTCAATCACATTTTAAAGTTCCAGTTGTGTAATTACAGGTTTTTATCGCAATTCATATCTAATTAAACTATCGTCCATTAATAAGTCAATTACCTTCAATTGTTTGCGTCACTCCTGGGTGAACTCCATGACTGTAACTTCAAATGCCAGTGTTTTGCGTGTAGAATATCAGAGAAGGTAATTCAGTCCTTTGGAAAGTATTTCTTTGTCCGTTCAGAGGCAATAAAAAGGACAGGTGGCAGTATCAACCATGTATACAGTGTCAACAGGACGTGTATAGGCAACACTGCCGTGGTAAAATAAAAACAAAAGCTTTGTGGACATTTCAAACAAAGTGCTTTTTGTGTTGTGTAGACTGACGGGCGTACTGCTGGAGCCTAAATGTGATTGTCTTCCTCTGAGAACAGAAACATCAGTCTGTATGTAAATCATTATGAGCTCCAGTCACATAGAGATCTTTTGTGCTCGTATTGAAAACTACCACATGTAAACAGTGTTTGCTGAGAGGATATCAACGGTGATTCTTCTGTTTAGACATTATTTAACTTCTGACAATACATTTCTGTAGGAAGAAACTCACTCCGCGGAATATGCTATCCTCAATCCAATGTTTAGTCTTGTAAGCCTATTAAGTTCACCTGAGCATGCGAAGGAGCAATTGTCTGTCTAAATTAGTGAAGCACATACAGTGAGTCTCATTAAACACAAAACTGCACAGTAACCGTTAAAAAAAAAAGGGTTCTGTGGCTGCGAATTGTAAATTGTACAGACTGTGTGTATCCATGCCAGCGTGCTGCCCTGTGTGTGCAGTAAGACATTATATGCGAGCGTTTTATGTATCCGGGGCCATTTGTACCACTAAAATCTATACATCTGCCTCTCCACGCGTGCCCAGAGACACTACCCAGAAGCCACAGCGAAACCCGATCAGAGCAGGTGGTGTGTGCAGTGACCTCACAGAGCCCAGATGGACCAGTACCACACAGACCGTAATATAGGGGCAACATGGGAGTGACATGGAGCTCGACGGTAGCTGGTTTTGTGACTGCAGCGGAGATAAAAAAAAATAAATTAAAAAAAACACGCTCGGGCAACAGGGATTTCAATCCTTCCGTGATGAAAAAGTATAGTTAAAATAACCTCCCGGTCTCTACATGGTGTTTATGTGTTCAACAGATGGAGGTAATTGCAGGTACAGTAGCTGCTGGTGCGACAGATTCCTCACAACTTGAGTAATAGCACCATAATGAACACAGACTTGCAAAAAAAAAAAAGAAAAAGAAAAAAAAAAAGAAAAAAGGAAGAACGAAAAATCTTGGCCAGAGATATATGCTGGTAAATGATATTTCTCCCTCTCCTGAAGCGGCATGTGAGTCACAGTCAAAAGCCTTATCTGATTGTACTCTTCATGCCAATTAAGACAACGGAAGCTAAATATAGATATAATGTTATGATTTCCTTTCTTGAATGGCCTTTGATTCTTCTTTTTCTGCAAACACATTCTTGCCAGAGGCTGGATATTTATGTATGCAGTGGTAGAGATTTGTAGATATAGGAATCATTTCAAAAGGAAAAAAAAAGGGGGGGGGGGGGGGTTCTACAGCCGTACTGAAGTACAGGTAATCTTTGAAATGCCACAGCTTTTGTTTCAGTTGCGGAGAACTGATAACGAGCAGGTAAGTATGGGGAGATTGTCACAGGCTGGTACAGAATGAGAAAGAGGTGATGTTTAGTAGCCCACATCAGAGGGGATATTTAGGCCAAAGTAGTGCCAGATCGGAGGGCGACATCGCTGCGTGTTTGATCATTCTGCTCCCTAGAATGGCCCCGGGTCTTGGTTTCACACTGCCCCTGCATCACTCGCTCTTATACATATCACGTCTCAAGGGGACTGAATCTATAGGATGGAGTGTGAAAACTCGCTCACACCTATTTGATGCATAGCATGTTGTCATTTGATGGACCCGACTTCTCCACAACCCCTCCAGGGCTTTGAAAGTTGCGAACTGCGGGGCTTAAACCTCGCAAACAAATATACTTCAGTGGGAACCGTTAAGCCAAAATAATTAAAAGTGACTGCTGGTTAATTGCTAAATGCTTCAGCACTCAAGAGCAATGCATGTGACGAGTTTTTCCCGCGAAGAACATGCCCAGTTCCACGTGCAGACACACTACTATCGGACTTCACTTGAATCGGGGTTGTGCTGCTGGCAGTTCTCAGAAAGCAAAGGGCCTTAATGATTAAACAATTTCTCCCAAGAGTTCGCTGACAAGTGGAGTTCTCAAAGACAAAATAGTAAAATGGGGCTAATCCACAGATAATTATCTTTGTGTGAATATTCAGCGTGGCCTCACTCATGGTACACAGTCTCCCATTTGCATTTCTGGTCTTAGACTGAATGTGATATTAACATTTCTGTGAAGAACTGGATTTTTATTGACCCTGTAGAGGAAATTATGGTTACATGTTTTAATCCAACAGTTTTTTTTTTTTTTTTTTTTTAACTGTCTTCTTTGACAGTCCATCCACACTTAAGTGGCTGTGTCTTGTTTTCCTTTTTCCATAAATTGTGTCACCGGCCCTCTGAGAGTGTGCTGCTGCACAGTGTCTGGGGTAGGGGATGGGGGTGGGGGTGGGGGGGTGATTCATATCACTTTGTTGCATGTCATTGCTCCCAACAGAATCTATCCTAGCATCTGGCCATTTTAATACATGGTGGCTGGATTCATAGGAATTAATTGAGGGCAGAGGTAAAACAGAGTGCTCCATCTATTCATGTATTGTTCAGGACGGTTAAACGACAGCGTATGCTTCATTCTCCCGCTTGTCATTTGATGTGCAGTCAGATCTTTGGTGCGTGGGTCATTTTTCCACTTGATAAGTCATATTGTTTTCTCCTTATTAGGGGACAAAGGAGGAAGTGGTCACGTTTCACAACAGTCAAATGCTCTACAATAACATAGGGATGTAATGCCATACAGAACTGGCTACAGGAAATGTAAATGGATACACAGAGCAAATACAAGGTTCTAAGGTGGTGTCAAATGATCACACAGGACTGCTTTAAAATAAACTTATATGACATGATAAAAACGAGTTCACACATTCAAAATATTTAACATTATATCCCATTTTCTTAAACTGTTTTTTTATTCTGTCTCTTACATTTCAGAGATCTCTCAGGTGGCCTCCACAGGCTCCCAATGCAGGCGTTATGGGCAACAAGACAAACAGTGTGACGCCACAAATTATGCCAACACTCGCCCTTTGACTTACAGTAAGCTAGTGCATTCTCCCCCTGTGAAGATTTTACATCGCCTCTCTTTGTAGTGCCCTTCAGAGAACCCGTCGCCTTTCTGCCCTGCGTGCAAGCGTGTAATCCTTTCCATCAATGAACTCCACTGTGTCATTTAGCCACTCTCAGGATGGCGGCTACTTTCCCCGCAGAGAGTCCGGCCCACATTATTAAGGCAAATGGCATGAAGAGGCTAGGGCCAGTTAGCCATGGCTGAGCCTTGGAATTGAAAATAGCATCAGTCCCATGCAGGGGCTGGTAAACACAAAAAGGAGCCTGGGGCGCAACACAGGACGGTTCCACCCGCCCCTTCCTTACTCTGGCTCTGTTTTGGAGGAGCTGGGGGGAAAGCGGCAGCCTTACCCCCCCCCCATCCCCCGCCACAGACGAATAATATCACGGTCACATGGCGGTGCGAGTTGGAGTCTCCCGTCGGAGCCCTGTGTTCTGGGGGTTGTTATTGGGCTTGTTTAAAATCACCAGCGAGTCATGCAAGATGCATGTGGAAGTGGTGGCAGAAAGTGGGTGTGCTGCGAGTGCAGGCCTGGTGTGTAATGCGTCTTGGTGGAGAACCGTGCTAAACTAGCGCTCTGGGCAAGGACTTGTGAGGCACTTTGTGTTTTGCTCGGGTATAGCACTCACAAGGAATATTAAAATTTATGGACCATGAGGGTTTGGGTTGCAAACACACTTACATAAACAAGAACTTGCGCACTCCCTGTGCTTAAAATGCTACAAAGCCAAACTTTGAAATTGCTGTAAAATTCCAACAGATGCCACATGCCCGGCAAAGCAGAGGAAATGAGATGCACTTGTGTGGAGGAGATAGTTAAATCTTTCGCTACTGAAAGGGCACAAGAAAATAGTACTTGTTGTCATGCTG